ATGCAATTAGTTGTAAGGAGTTCCTCTTATTATAAGGGAGGAATAGAAGACAACTAAATATGCATAAAAAGTTTATTTCCCTCTTCCTTTACTCTTTAGTTAACAATTACCTTTTTTTGCTCTTTTTCCCCCTCTGGTGGTTGTTTCCTTCTTTGTGAGCAACACGCGTCGCATTAATAATAACAAGGAAAGAGGATATAAAGAAAAGATAGATCTAAGGCGAGAGAGGAGAGAGAGAAGGAGAAGGAGGGAGGGACAAAAGGGAGAGAGGGAGAGGGAGAGAGGGGGAAAAGTTGTATAAATAATAATAATAAATATATTTATCTTGTTGTTCCTCTCCTCTCCTTTATTCCTTATAAATTATTTATTTCCTTAATTTCCTTCAGTTGTGACTTTTCATTAAGACTGCTAACTAAGCAGTTAATTAAATAATTAATTTAACTAAATAATTAATAAAATAAAAAAAAAAGAAATAAATAGTCAATAGGAGCAACTTAATTCTTAATAAAAACAATCTTATTAAGGAGGATAGATGATGATCTATAGGCGCATGCGCCTTTTTCTGTTCTTTTTCTTTACTAATAAACAATTGATTAATTACTTTCTTTAATTATATTTATTTATTGATGATTATATTCTCCCTGTTATTAGATATTCCTTTTATTACTATTCTTATTCCTCATCAAGGAAGAGGATCGATTGTCTTAACCATGAAGAAGAAGAAGAGGAGGAGAGTCTACTCAAGGGGAGTAGACTCGATGCTGTCTGTGCATTGTTGTATATACAGCTGGCCTCTTCTCTTCTTTCTTATAAGGAGACGAATTCCCTCCTCTTATAGACAAAATGTACACCATTATTAATAACGCTAAAAGGGACACACTGTCTCATCGCTTCCTGGCACATACACACCAATTGTACCATAAGAGGGGCCCCAAGGTCCCCTCTTATGGTACAATTGGGGCCCTTCTTATTTTCCTCTTTTTTTTTGTCTCTTCCTCTCTCTTTATGTCTATAATTATATATAACATAGTAAATAAATCTTAAGAAAAGTCCTGTCTTATGGCCAATTGGTCTACACGCCCTTAGACATGCAACTAGCTAAGAGTAAGAGAGGAGGGTGGCAGCAAAGAGTTAGTCAATAAATAGACAGAAAGAATGCATGCATATTCTTGTTGTACCTTTATATAGTTACTAGGGGAGAAATAAAGAGAATAAATATAAGAGGAGTCTCTTATAGGTTAGTTGCCTCTTGGTTGCCTCCCCCCCCTCCCTCACCCTACCAGAGGGAATATTTTTATTAATTAATTAAATAATTAATTAAAGATAACAATTAATAAATATTTATAGAGAGAATTGAAGAAAAAAATACTTTTGTTGGCTAGACAGAAGGGAAGTCCTGTTGTGGGGTGACGATCAAGATTGGGGTGTACGTACACCCCAAGAAGTACATACCTTGTTATTTAAGGGTAAATATAATTAAATATATTATTTTATTATTCTTATTAGCAATAAATAAGGGAAAATAATTAAGAAGAGGATCTTTTTGCATGCAATTAAGATCTTATTAAGGGGTAATTATATTAATGAATAAAATGTTATTTATTTCTTATATGTATATACACAGAAGAAACAATTCTTATTTATTTATTGTTATTAATGTAATAAAGAGGTGTATGCATGCACATCATTAATTATTTTCCTCTTTATTTACTTTTAATATAAAATATACACAAAAATTAATCAATATATTAATACATAAAGAAAAAAAGAAGAAAAAAGAATTAATAAGAAGACTTACCTTAATTACTTATATAGACAGATTAATTATTTAATATTAGATGATCTAAAGAAAGAGAAGAAGAATAATTTTATTTATTTATTTATTTATTTATTTATTTATTTATTTATTGTTAGTTGTTGGATCCTTAATGGTGGTGTCACTTATGAGCAACAAAAGAAGAAAAGAGGCAAAAGACATAAAAAAAGATCTATTTAATGGCAATTAAATTATTTCTCTGGTGTACAGACACCCTAAATTAAACAGAGGAATTGTTTGCTGCAGCAGCAGATTATATTTATATAACAATAATAATATAAGCAGGAAACTACCTTATTTATTTATAATAATAAACAAGAAGAAGAGACACCTGAATAAAAGGATAAAAAAGACTTTTTATGTATATGTATAATCATTGTATAACATTGTTTATAACTTTTTATTTCTTTTTCTTTGTCTATTGATGTAAATAATTGATGAATAAATTGAATAATTATTCAGGTGTCTATACAGCTCGTTAATACTAATAAAAAAGTACATCTTATTATATATTATATCTTATTGTTTTATATATATTTATTAATTAAATTAAATGAAAAGATAAGAAGAAAATGTCTATATTTATAAATAAATGTATTTATTACTTTTTTTCTTCTTTCTTTTTCCTTAGGAATTGTCTCGTCATAGGGAGACGGGGAGCGAACACTAGAGGCGCAGCAGCAGGGGGAGGGATAAAGGAGGAAAGGGAATATAAATAAAGGTAATTTATTGATTAAATTATAATAAAATGATATAATTATAGATAAATAAAAGAAAAAAATAATAAAAATAAGTATTTATTTATTTATTTATACTTATTTTATGGTGTACATACACCGCAGAAAGGAGTCGGGTTCGTTCGCGCAGTGCAGCAGCAGCAAGCTGCGGTGTATCTGCAGCAGGAGCGGTGCTGGTAAAGGAGGGAAGAAAGAGGGGAATAAAAGGAGAATAATATATAAATAAATAAAGATTGTTTTTATATAGTAATTGTTATATTATAATATTGTTTTTATATTAATTTATTACAAGAAACAAAGGCAAGAAGGCTCTGCTGCTGCTGCTGCAGCTGAGGTGTACAGGCAGCTAGGCAGTGCGGGGGAGGCCTGCTGCCTGCGGCGTCTGTATATATGAATGACACTTTATTCTTCTTCTTGTTGCTTTTTGCTCCTTATTTAACGATAATTATTGAATATAAATAAGAAGAGTTGTTATAAAAGTATAAATTACCTTTATTTTAACAGTAGAAGTGCTGTTTGTTGTTCTTTTTTTCCTTTTTTTTCTTCCTTGTGCTGTGTACCTTTTTTTCTGTTGCTGTTGCTGCTGTTGCTGCTGTATCCTTTCTGCTGCCTATTGCAGCATCATTCGCCCCTTATTTTCTTCCTTTTTTCTTCTTTTTCTTCTTTTTATTCTTTATTTTACCAATTAAGTTGCCTCTTTTAGTGGGGGCAGCCTTTTTACCTCCCTGTACACCACAATGATACACCAGCAGCAGCCCTCCTTAGAAGCCACGGAGGGCCCTAACGGGTTCCCTCTCTTTGCTGTTGCTTAGAACCTCCATTACCTTGGCTGTACAGCAGCAGCAGCAGCAGCGGCAGCGGCAGCAGCAGCAGCAGCAGAAGTATCTCTCTGTATCATTGGCGCCAGCAACAAGAGCTACAAGCACAGCAACAGTAACAGCAGCAACGGCAGCAACAGCAGCAGCAACAACAACAGCAGCAGCAGCAGCAGCAACCAGTCCTTGGTTGCCTGCAAGTCCTGCTCTTTTTCATATCCCGTTGCAGCACCCTCCCTCTTGTTGCAACTGCAGCAGCAGCAGCAGCAGGAGTAGCAGCAGCAACTGCATCAATAAGCAGTAGCAGCATCAACTGCAGCAGCAGCAGCAGCAGCAGCAAAACATCTTTTTTTTCTTCTTTTTTTCTTCTTTTTCTTCTTTTTTTTCCTTATAAGCAATGATTGCTGCTCTCTCCTCCCTTCTTGCTGCAGCAAGGCCTAATGGCCAGCAAAAGGAGGAATATTAATTCTTAATTACCTGTGGGGCAGCAGCAGCAGCAGCAACAGCAGCAAGAGCAGCAACAGCAGCAATATACACACCTATAAGGTGTATAGACACCTCAAGGTGCAGCAGCTCAGCTCTACTCTTATAAACCCTAAACCCTAAACCCTAAACCCTAACAGGCAAGAATAGTATATATATAATTGTATAACCTACACTAACTGCAGCAGCAGTAGCAGCAGCAGCAGCAGTAGCAGGAGCAACTGTAGCAGCAGCAACTGCAGCAGCAGCAATTGAAAATGATGGAACCAGCTGTGCATACATGGCATAGGCCTGGTGCTTTTTACGGCAGCAGCAGCAGCAGCAGCAGCAGCAGCAGCAGCAGCAGCATGCATAATCATCATTATCCTTTACGCCGTCAGGCGTATTCTTTGCCCCCAATGTTGCTGCAGCAGCAGCAGCAGAAGCAGCAGCAGCATTTATATCGTGGTGGAGGTGCCCCTATGTTGCTTAGATGCAGCAGCAACCACAGCAGCAGCAGCAGCAGCAGCAGCAGCAGCAGCAGCTGGGCCCACCATCGTCCCTCTGGTAGTTATTCAGCATCCATGGTGTGTATGGCTGGTGCGCATGGAGGAGGGAGTACAGCAGCAGCAGGAGCATCTGCTGCAGCAGCTGCAGCAGCAGCAGCAGCAGCAAAAAGAGGAGCAGGGCCCTCCTTCCCTCCTTATTCCTCTAGTCATATATTAGCAGCAAACCTGCAGCAGCAGCAGCAAACTTATACCTGCAAAGACACCCGAAGTTTATTTGATGGATTTGTTGCTGCTATAGAGAGACATATACTACATTCAGATCCTAGTGTAAGTATACTTCCTGCTGCTGTTGCTGCTGCTGCTGTTGCTGTTGTTGTTGCTGTTGCTGTTGCTGTTGTTGCTGTTGCTGCTGCTGTTTTTTTTTTTGCGGTAAAACGATGTCGTTATGTCTCCTGCTGCAGTTGCTGCTGCTGCTGTTGCTGCTGTTGCTGTTGCTGTTGCTGCTGTTGCTGCTATTATGATGAATATAAATGATGAGAATATCTAACAGGAACTGATGGCATTAT